CTCACTATTTGAAAAGGATGTCAGTAGTGTTTGGTTCGTTCAAGCGTTTAATTTGGTTATACCACTGCTAGATTCGTATTGAATTTTCTTCCGAAAATCTCTACTCGCGAACGCCTTCCTTGCACGCGTCATGTAGTATGACAGTGCACGTGCTGCCAACGCTTTATCGCTTTACAGGCATGCATAGCGGTGACGGAGGAAAAAAAACAAACAAAGACGCCAGTTGGAGGCAGGCTTTTATAGGCAGGACATACAAGTAGATTTCGAAATGTATTTGACCTAGAGTGAATACACTGTCAACTGCGTCCTTCTCATCTAATAATAGCGTGGCCTCTTCTCCTTATGTAAACGGAATCGCTTCGGGTGTTTATAGAGTGACACTACAGCAATATTCATTTGCAAGTCTATGGAGGCGCTTCTACACATAGCTTGCTTTTCATTTCGCATCGCTTTCATAATAAGTACTGGTGACACTCACTACAAGTAGCCTACAATATGAGGGAGTGAATGCAAGCTGAGCCTATATTGTGCGGCCGATCAAGTGACTTGCGTGACGTAAGCACCCAACTGCTCCGACACCGGCTCTTTGAGCTGCAACAAAGGCTTACCGAGCTATCACATGGACCCACTTAGACGATATATTTGGACCGTCATCTTTAATTTTTTTACTGCATATCTGCGTCGAATTTGATGCAAACGGAGTGACGAGTCTTTCGGCAGCGTCGACACAGGCGTGCGCACAGCGTTTCCGTAGCACCTTGGTAGCACCAGATACTTGACAGTGCCGTCTTAACATTCATTGTAGGTGGTTTATCAGTACGTGTGTGGGCGTTAACTTTGTTCTCGCCTTCACCGTGGCATCTGCATCAAGTGGGTCCACGCCCGACACACGAAGCAGGCGCAGCCATGTTTGCTGACAAAATAACGCACGAACAAATTAGCACGCCGCCTCCGAGAGCCTTGTAAGAGCACCTGGGGCAGTTCATTGTGGGGGCGTCTATTTGGTCACCTATCCAAGCTCGTGAACCGCCCACCGAAGCTCGCCAAGCATCCTTTGACTCAAGATCGCTGTTTGGGCTGCGGAAATTGTTTCTTTTTTCTTTGTAGTCACTGAGATGCGCTTGTAACAACTCTTCACCAACTTTTTTTTTCATCCATTTTGCTGTCGTACGTCAGCCACCACGTTTGCACCTGCCTTGCGTTTGTGAAGGAGGTATACTTCTTGGTGGTGCCTCACGGGTGAAGTTGCCAGAATCAATTTCCGGTGCAGTTGTGTTTCAATTCGTGTGGTGGAGTCTGTGGCGGTAGCTATGGTAAAGCCCCTTGATCTTGGAAAAGTAACGATACTCTCTTCCACGCGTGCATTTCCTTTTCTATTCTCCTCTTCTGCCGGCTGTACACGCGGCGCAATGTTTCGCTGGCACTCCCGCAGGCGCGCCACAAAATTCAATGAAGGAGAAGCTTTTATGGGGAGTTCTACGATGTTTTTGCCGCTTGATAACACGCTGCACGTTTGTATCTGATGTAGTTTCGCTTGTGGAGTGTCCGTCTGTATTCGATTTTTTTTAGGGGGGGGGGGGGGATTGTACGCCAGTATACGGCAGGCGCTTACAGCATCACATATTCTAATGACTTCATAAATGACGGATTGTTTAGTACATCTTCGTAAATGATAGATTGTTTAGTACGCCGAGGAGATGTTTGTACATCTCCTCGGCGTGAAAGTAGCTTTGAGCAGTGCTCTCCAATCTGAAGAAGGCCTTTGAGCATTGTCAATACAATTAGGTCTCACGAACAAAGACTCATCTACCACAAAAACAAAAATAAAAGATAATGAATAATTAGAACTGTGTTTTGACGTTGTTGTCAAAGAAACTTGTGATCGGGTTACCTGTGAGAGGAGAAACGTTGTACCAGAAAGGTCATCATAATCTGCGTGTCGATAGCGACCGAGAACTCCTATTCGGACTGACTGATCCAGTCAAAAGTGCCTATGAGGCAGTATAAAATATAATTTTCTTAATTTGTGAATAAAGGATATGCTCATGGAGGTGTGGGTGAAATGATTGCGGCCACAGACTCGAAGAAAATGGCTTACTTTCGCTATCACTGTTGCTATAGCTTTTTTCTACTTGACCCTCTGTATTTCTTTCATTTTCTGATGAACTGCACCTCTTTTATAATTTTCATGTGTTAATTCTCCATCCCTCGCCAAAAAAACAAAAACAAAATAAATACTCTTTAGAAACAAACGCCAATCAGTGTCCACTCTATTCATCCATTCATTTGTTTTCTCCAACAAATATTCTCGTAAACTAATCATAATAGTCACAAAAAGCGCGTTCGAGAAGCTGTGTCATCCCACGTAGTTGTTTGCAGCGAAAGTATGTTACAGTTGTGCATTTTCGACAAATGCTGGGGTGCGTGCGAGGTGATGGCGTACAAACTGAATATTGTCTTGGTTTTATTTATTTATTTATTTAGACATACAGCAGACGACAATGTTGTTCTAGGCTGGACGGGCATAAAAAACATAAGGTGATTCGTAACAGCAAAAAAATATCTATATATACAAACACTGACAGAGGTCACATCTGTGAAACAGCAACAAAATTTCCAACACATTTGAACACTGTAATCACCAAGTGGATAACTTTCCAGTGAGATAGCAAACTTATCAGTCTAAAAATTACATAAGGTAGTTAAGTCAACTAATTAACTGCTCTGGGAAAATAACTGTCTTTGTAAGCATACTTCGTGCAAATATGGGTGCCAAGGGTCACTCATGTTTATGGCAGTTACTCCTAGCAGTGGCTCGCTGAACGCAACAAAGTGTATTTAAGGCAACTTTCTCTGACATAATTTTCTATAAAAATGCTAAACGATTCGACTTTCTTCTTGTTTCTAACAAAGGAATTTAGCATCTTGATGACAACTCCAGATTGAAGATATGCACAAATAGCCGAGAAAAAATCACAGCATATCTACGAGGTGAATGATGACGAGTAGAGCGAAGCGTGTGGACAGACGGCTACATAGATGCATGGACGCATGCACGCACTGACGCACGTTTCATCCCACTCATCATCATTCACTCCGTGGATATGCTATAACCCCGTTTTTATTGACATCCAATGCGATGCAAATGGCTATACTACGACGACTGCAACGACACGGCACATAAGACCCACGGCGCAAGGAGCTTCGCCCTCCAAAGCACTTATGTTGATGAGCACGCCGAAACACTATTTTAAATGCAGCATTCGGCGGTGCTTTGATACGAGCAATAGGAAAGGTGCCTTGCCTCGCAATAACACTGTTCTTTGTCCGAACGAAGTTTTCTCGGTCGGTAATGTGCAGCCACTGCTGCTTGCGCAAGCCACCGCGTTTACCTTGGGATATCATAAAAAGTGCGCAACCATTTATACTGAGGCTGTCGCAGTCATAGGCGAAACAGCACGGCATAGCGCCCACAAAAAGCACAGAAAAGAAAGCGCGGTACGTTTGTTACGCGGAGCGCTGGCGAAAAATGACGCGAGCGAAAAAGAAAAGCACAAGCAAAGTGCAAGATCAGCGTGTTTCTAAGGGCAACCGCAAAGGAGACCAATCATCGCACAGAGGCCACGGCGGAGAGCGGGAGAAACTCGGAAAGGGCGAGGAAGGAGTGAGGAGGTCACGTGGGCGGCAGCGAGTACAGTGGATGGCGGTACTTCCCAAGATCAAGGGGTTTTAAGCCATAGCAGTGTGAGACACCAAATAGAGATTCGTGCACCGCTGACGCACGGACAATGCCGAATCGTGGACAATGTAGACATACAATCACTTTAGCACGGGTCCAAACCTCATATCAGACAGCGGGCCGCAGTCACACAACTTAGTGTCGCAAGGGCCGAGTTAAGAAAGAATGTGATCTCAGAATTATTGTCAGCAAACGCTAAGAGTGAAAATTTATTCTTTTTGATATCGCTTATACGGGTCAGTCTGAAGATTTGGAACGGGGATTTCATCGTACATTTCACTACCGACCAGTCAATAAGTAAACCCCGGCAATAAATAAAACCCGGATTCTGAAATACTGTTTGTGTTTCATGGTTATTCCGCCTGAAAACGTGATGGCCACACGAAGTCCTCCACAAAATCATTGCTTTAGATCAGTCATGCCTCTGCAGCGCTCGAACGTACTTATGAGAATCGACGCAAAATATACGACGAATATAAAGATGTGCGTGTTTGAGACTCGTGCACTACAGTGATCACGGTTTAGTCTATCGACTTGGACGACATCTGCGAACGTGATAATCCGTGTGCGTGCGTCGGGGCATTTTCCGCCTCCCACTCTCGTAAGCAGCAATGTAGGAGAAAACCTTTGCTCTCGATATTAAGTGTTCTTATCTCCTTCCAGCACTAATTATGATTTCCTCTTTGCAAATGCACAGAACTCGTTAAAGTGATTGCAAGCCACTCCGTGCTTCCTTCCAAGAAGAAAATGAAAGAATGTGTGGTTTTGTGAGGATTAGGAATTATAGTGAACTAGCTTTTAATGAATGCCTCATTATTTTGCAAATATCCATCTTCCACGCTCGCATGGAAAAAATCAAATATTAGGTCCAATTGCGCGCACACTTTTTTATTGCATTCATTTCGGGTAAAAAGGAAAAGGCTCTTGACGTCGGCCCTGTAACATGGCACGTCGAGTAATTGCCGGACATGGTAGAGTCTGCATGCAGCGACGTGGATCTTTGCATCATTACGCAGCACAATGAACCAGAATGAGCGCAGTTGCCCGCTCAGGATGACTGCACAAATGTGCACACTGTGTGTCAAGCTATAAGGAGGAACACGTGGTTCGTAACATTCTTCCAAATCGAATGAGTACAACTGTCAATATTGTCACTGAATGTGTAGCTACGTTCTGAATGTTTAGCTACATGCCAAAATTATTTGTTAGCACGGGCTAAAATCATTTTAACACATGCAATGACGGTTTTTATTTTATGCAGCGGACAAATATTGCAATGATTTCCACGTGGTGAACGGTGATGTCGTTGGCGAAAGATCTGGAGGCGAGTACTTCACCCCTGGAGACAGTGCTTTCGTCACCTGTGCGCCAGGATACCGCGTCAGCGGAACAGATCAGCTGTATTGTGAAGACGAGGGCTTTTGGGCCGACGACGTGCCCACTTGTGTTGGTGAGATCGCAATCTTTTGCGGTTTCAAACGCTCGATATTTAGACAGCTTCTCGTCACATTGTAAATTACCAGTTACCCGGCTTTTTTACGTAGCAGTCAGCAAGAATCGCGCAGGGCGCTTTTTGTATAACCTAGAGGGAAAAGGAATGCGAGGGCTGTGTGGCTGTCCAGCCCTGGCACATCCGGCTTTGTGATGTGGCACAACCGCCTTTGATTACAAAGACAGTTGTGAGCTTCAGCTAATGTGAGCTTTAGCGTTTCGTAGTGCTTTAGCAAATGTTTCGGAGTGCGCTTGCACCACCTCTACAGTATAGTGTAGCGTGTTTCATGCGGTTGTAGCAGAATGTACAGACATAATAACAAACTCGCGCAGCTCTGATTGTGCATCGCGTAAACTTATGTCATCGATGCCACACATAATGATGAGTGCATCAACGTAAATAAAGGCCATTTGCGACTCTTCTCGGCTAGCCATATGTACGTTATGACACAAATCAACATTTTGAGCAATGTTTTTTTTCTAAGCACACCATTCATTAGAACTAACAGACAAAATGGCAAATAGGTGGTGCTAATTCTATTTGTAATTTTTATGATGTTTACTTGAACGAAGTCAAGTAGACGAAAAGATCACTTGCCGCTGGCACCCACCATACTTGCTTTCTTGGATCAATACGCCTGAGGCTATGCCAACTGGGCTACAGTTGCAGTCATCGCATACCGCCTTAAGGTCTCCAGTATGCCAGAATGAGACTCTCGCTGTGAATAAACGAAAAAAGGAGAGAGATGTATTAATTCATAGCGAGCGTCATGTACGCGTTCGGGGATCCTATCTGGTTACTTATTGTAGGATATATGCACAAAGATCGGACAAAGACAAGAAAAAAAAAACGAAGTTCGCAGGAAGAGCGTAAACCATCAACTGATTTATTCATTTTGGTAACAGCTTGACGTACACTTCCTAAACGTCCCCAGGACAAAGGGTTGAAGGGAGAATGCAAAAATTATTCTACACTCGCAAGTCAAGCACACCTTGGCAGGAAATTGGCCTCTGTCTTACATATATAAAGCAAAGTGTAGCTTCCGAAATCACTACCCGTCTCTTTATCACTTCATTTAAAAAGGCTTATGTTAGTCCCTGCCATAGTTTGGTGCAGGCCTTTCTTAAAATTCTTATCTTGTTGGGCAAAGACTCGTATGCTATACATGTACTGCAAGGAGCATTAAGAACTGTCAAGTAATGATTCTGGGAGCGTTAATTCAAGCAGCTCTTCTCTTGTCTAACTTTGGGACTTCCACAATTAGGCGTTATTTTGATTACCACTATCGTGGCGCTTTTATTAGCTTCCTGCATGTCTTATTTTACAAGCATGCTTGGGAATTCCTTTCCGACAATATTTCGGCGTAATCTGGCAAGCTTTCTGGTTGCCAAAAAACCACGTCAATGCCACGCCTCTTTGCTTGTTTTTCGTGTTGTGACTGACATTGAGCACATACGGCACAACAATGAATTTTTTTTTTTTTTGGTGGGCACTTGGTGCTACCTGCCTCTCTATCCTCAACCAAGCACTCTACCCATAACGCCACACCGGAATCAATGGGGTTACGCAGACTCTGACCGAAAACGTACATCAACTTACATAAGGTAGATGTATTTTGTCGCAAGTCTGCTGTGTACGCTGCAGTGTACGCTGCAGAAGGAAAAACTTGGCTGATTTCCATACAGGAATTGGTATACATGAAGGAGCCATACTGAAGGTACTAAAATCTGTGAACGAATCTTCACTCAGGTTGTTGAGCCTTTATTGTGCACTGTTTCAGCAACAGCGATACATTTTGAAGCCGCGTCAAGAACGACAAGCATCTCGCAATTTGCAGCGCACATCTGAAGCACAAAGCACGCACGAAATGAGCATACACCGAACGACAGCTGACTAACATCTGGTAGAACTCAACACTTAAGAGCACGCTGTTCAAGAACAAAGACGCATGAAACCAACGCACAAGTATACACAGGGCAAGCACGAAGAACTGCCACAATTCTTCGATCGTCATTTTTCAGCATCTCGCTCTTCTCGTGAACGTAGCCACGGCACCGAGCAAAATTAACTTCTTTCTCTCCTGAATTGCGAGTCTGATTAGCTCGCGCGTAAGAAAAGGCGATGCTCTATTTAGGCTATTACGACCTATTGTGCAGGCGGCACTTAGTGGAGGCGATAACCTTGAGAACGAGCCATCTTGCTACTGATAACGAAAACGCGTTAAAATCTCGAAGCTCTGAGAACTGCCGCACGATGTAAATGGCTTGCGAATCTGTAGCTTGCTGGTTCGAGTCGCGTGACATAATCTTGCCTTCTCGTTTTTTTTTCGTTACCATGCGTTCATGTATAGTTTACAATGTCATATCCGTGACGGGAGTACGTGAGCGGAGCTGTGGAGAACGGTGGCATAAAACATTTTGTGTTATAACACCACAGCATCAACAACAAAGAGAAACAATGGGAGGCATTACTGTTCCACTCGGCCTTTGAGGATCATCATTAGCTGGTCCAGTAAGCAGAGATGATGGCGAGAGCAAGCGAGGCATGCCATAAGGGTCCCATCGTTTACAATGCCCCGCGTTACGCAAAAGAAAAGTTTTTCTCTCTCTCTTTCTTGGTGTGGGCACGACCTCTTCCTTCACTTATCTCCTTAAGAAAACTGTCAGGTTTTGCTTTGATTACCCTAAATGAGAAACCGCTAGAAGCCTGCTTACTTGACTCTCAAAGCTGTCGTGCTTTATATCCATACACAATTTGGTTAGCGCGAATGAAATGAACGAATGCATAGTCACCCTCCTTGCAATTTTTTATTGCGTGAAATCAGATGGCGTAAAGCCCTTTTTTGTGGTCACGTAGCACATTTCCAGCACATATGCCGTACGCCTATTTGCAAGGTATTATTTAAAAATTGTAAGGGATCGCTAAACGAGATCTCGTGTATAAATTTGAAACACTCCCCATAAGCCCTGAAAGGGTGTTGATACTGCTGACTGAATCCGTGCGAGGGAGGTCACTCCATCAGCATTGAAAAACAGTATTGAAAGTAAAGTATTGAAGCTTTGTCGACGTATAGGAAGGTCTTATATACCACTGCTTCAAAAACGCCAACTCCCTGGAGTGGTCAAATGTGCCTAAGTATGTCCCGTAGGACCAGGGCAAGAATCTTTCCAATATACTTGTGTTGAAGGTAGTAATCATCATGGAAACATTGAAAGTAGCTTTGAAGTATAATTTTATCGAAGCCACGAATCTCACTACCGACCCTCCTGCAGTTTTCTTAAACGCCATCGCACCATTAAATTTATTGGAGTTTCTTACGGCTCGAAAAAGTTCACTGCGAGGTACCGAATATATTAAGTCCTGAAAAACAAAGGATGAGACATAACCTGCACGTACACTGGATTTGAAGAAGCCAACCACTTCACTAGAGTTTTTTTTTTTTTTGTAGTGATTGAGTCATAAATATTCTGGACACTCAAATGCTTCTTGACAAACGGGCTAATTGGGGACTACCAGGACACCTTTTCACTGAAAATTATGCCAAACGGAACCGAGTCATCACGGGTCTTTGCATTTAATAAAACATTGAGCACCCTTTTTTTGGCACTGCGTAACTTAACTTGCAAGATGGCTCAGTTTTAGGTTCTTGCACATTGCAGCGACTCTGCGTTTTACTCTAGTTCCACTAGGTCTCACATGCACAAAATTCTTGGTGGTGCTTTCGTGGACGTTCTTGTTTAAGTCTTCTTTCAGAACTACAAATTATCCATTCTTATGAGCCTATCAGGTGCAGACTGATATTCTTGAGAAAACTAAGGACACTTCTGGTCGGATTCTTGGAAATCTTGGTAGGCTTCATGTTCCAAGATTTTAAAGGACTTCTACGCTTTCTAGAAGGCATATTTTACGCCTCTCTTATTTGGCCTGGCTTGAAATGCTGAAGTTGCCCGCTAGTAGGTCATAAGCTGGTCCTCAAGGTTCGCAAGTGCACTTCGGTCTTTTGCCAATAGTGCAGGTAACTTTTTAGGGCAGAGCCACATTTTGCAGGACTACAAAGCCTCTAGGCCCTTTGTTCTGGCCTCTTACTTTGCTATATCCGAGGACTTGTAAGGTGCCTTGACCACCAAAAGTGACCGATCTTTACTCATAGCAGATCATCATCAACAAATCTTGTATCCTACGAACCTAGTGTCGCAATTTTTTTCCTTTAGTATTTACAGACACACATCAATGTCCAATGCTTGGTTCGTGGAAACCAGACATCGCAGTTATATCTCCAGGAATGAGTGTCTTTCGTGGACAGAAAGCGATCCACCTGGCGCAACATGTTGACCTAACGATGAGGTTTACAAAAGTATTGCTTCGCAAAGGTGTTGAAGACAGATTCATAAAACGGGCATTTAGGCTGATACTATCTTATAACTTTTTGTTGGTTGAGTTCGTGCATCTCTTATGGCAACATATGTACGCAGAATTCAGACGACCACTGAAAAAATGTAGTACAGAGAAAGAACGCCCAACATCAACTCTTTTATTTGTTATTGGAAAAGCCTGATATAAGCTTCTTCGAACATCACAAAAAAGACTTGAAGGAGATAAAAAAAAGAACTGATGCACACCTCATGTCAAGCACATCTGTGCTAAAAATTGCCCTCTGACTTGTAGAGGTAAACCAAAGAGTCGCTTTCACAATAACCACCTTTCTCGTTATTAATAAAACCTTCGAATAGTTGCCACCTTCCTTTGAGCTGCTGTTTTCTTAAATCTGTACCTTTCAGACCAAACGCTCACATCAAGTACGCACTGCAATAAACGAGTGCGTCAAGGAGCATGTCTTGTTGGCTCTAAATAAAAGGCGCACTTTCCCGCTCATGGCGGTGCGTACTTAAGATCACAGTTCGGCAAAACTGGCGAGCCTCAGTAAGACTCGAATTTTCAAATATATCTTGCGCTTTGGCCTTACTCTGCGTCAGACTAAAAAAACTATTTTTTAAGCTTAACTCACTCAAACTCACACTCTCAAACATTTTCTTCAACGAGCCTCACTTAGACTCAGACGTACCAAAATATTACTCGCCCGGAATCATCCAGGCTCACAGTTTTATCTGCGTCTTATTGAGTCCAAGCGAGATGACTCATGAGTAAGTTCACTAACCCATGCTTGGAATGCCAGCCGCTGCTCAAAAAGGCAAAATATTTTAGAAAACAGCAGCGCAAAGCAAGGCCAGAAACCTTGGAATACCTTATTTTCGAAAGGAAGGGTTGTGATTTCGTAAGAGACCTTTTGGCTAACCTAGGCAAGACAAAGGAAATTTTCTGGACAGGTTTACCTAAAATATAGGGTGCATAGGTATTTTCGCGTTCCCTCTTTAAGACTTTTTCCTGCAGTGTGACGTTTAGAAAGCTTATATTAGGCTTTTTTCTTGAACAAATAAACCAGTTGATAGTTTGCGCTCTTTCTGATGACTTAGTGTTTTCCGTGTTTGTCCGATCTTGCTCGCACATTTTACAATAAGCAGTGCACCGACTCGCCAAACAAAAAGTTTTCCAAGAAATGGTAAGCGAAGTTGTTCAATTGTTCGGCTGTCACGCCATCCGTTCACCACGGAGCCCAACCCAAGCCACTAAGATAACTGGAAGTACCTAGAAAAGGAAAACAGACAGGGAGCACAAAAAGGGAGAGAGACTGGCGAACATGTGCAGAGAGAGAGCGAGAAAGACAGAAAAAAGCTACTGCCAATTTCTCCCAGGTGGGCCGGGTCAGGGGCCGTGAAAGTGTATCTCGGGAATTAACAATATATTACCTGTTGGATCAAGCTCCAGGATCTCCTTTTTGTGGCCACAAGCTTGTAATTTATAGCTAATTGTTGACCCTTCCCCCATTGGTAAAAGTTCGTGAGGACGCCGCTCACTAAACGATGGCTCGCACAAACGCCTTTGCGGAGAACCAGTCCTTCAAAGAAATGTATAATCTAGACATTAGGGGCTCGAAATTTAGTTGAAATAGTCTGCATTTTTGATCAATATCATGAGTGGATCTTTTTGACACTTTGGAGGCTTAGCTGCACATTGGATTCAGTGAAACTGCAAACAAATTAAACGTGTCGCTGGCTTCAATACCTCACTAAACTTTGTTGATCAGTTTTGACGTGAGGTCGCGTTTCATTGTAACGAATGACAGGCTACTGCTCCTGAAGGTTAAATTTCATTTTTTATAGTAACAGTTTGTTTAAAAGCAGTTGTTGCCATAGTTCAGAGACATTTCGAGTTTAGGTTAACTTAGGCCATCTTGCATAGCAACCCGGCTGGTGAGTTCATCAAAGTGATCAGGACAAAAGTGGCAACTGTAAAAAAGAACACGTTTTTCATTACAAGATTGGTACGTGAGTTGGGGCCTCGCCACAACTAAATGAACTAAGCATAAAAAATGAGCCCAGAGCTGAGCGCTTCACGCCTAAATAACATGGTACCGTGGCTTGCTGCAGAGACACTGGTTGAAGGTAAAGCTTCAGTCGAAAAGGATGCCGCCCCTGAAATGCACTAATGCAATACATTCTTGTTTGTATATTGCTACGTAACCGTCAGAGAAGTGTCCCGTTTATTGTTATTTTTGATAGAGTGCCACTATCGTTTTTACCAAGGCTTCGAAAGTTGTAAGTAGTTATTCAAATGCAAAAAATTGCAATATTTCCTTGCAGAGACTAACTGCACTCGGTTTAAGCCGGCTCAACACCTTATTGTCGATGAGTTCCTGAATGACAACCGAACCTCATTTCCCGAGGGGACAGCCATAAATTTCCAGTGTGACGTGGGTTTCCTCCTTGAAGGCGTCTTCAGCTCTACGTGTAGAAATGGTGCCTGGTTTGGAAGGATGCCCAAATGCGACGGTAAGGATCGTTTGCGGCTGCAGAATTATGTAGCATATATTTTGGCAGTGCAGCAAAATTATTGAGGTACATGGCACTTCAACTAAATCCTAAATCCTAAATCCTAAATCCTAAGTCAATACCCAACCAAACTTAATTTATTGCAGGATGGAACATCAGTTATATAAAAAAGAACAAAAAACTTCTAACAAGTGATGACACCATTGATTCTTAAAGTTTTGTGACTTTATATGTCTTGTATTTGTGTACACCTTGTTCCAGTGACCTGTGATTGTTTATTAAATTTTGTAATGACAAGTTTGAGTTATACATAACTTCTTTCTTTTAAAAATTTCTGATCGCTACGTTCGTAGGTTTCCCCTTCTGTACACAAGCGTGCCCAGTCATATCGTTTTTTAATAAATGTGCATTTCTCTCGATATTGTGGTAAAAATCAATGTTTAATTTCTTTCTTCTGTTGTGGCTCAATATGAGTACACATTTGTTGTACATATAACACTTTAACACAACTGTGTTTATATCTTTGGTCACTTACAAATTTCTTTATTCCTGTAAACATTCTGGGTGATTATGTGCCATTGTATTCTGTACGACAATTGCTTGTGTGTGTGTCTACGCTTTTGCAGATAGGGTGGCATGACCTAGCCAGGTGTTTATTTAGCCTTTAGTAGTGTCCCCTAAGCCAAAGTGCAATAATTTGCCTTGAATAGAATGAAATAAAACTCCCAGAGTGTTTACATACATTGTAAGTAGAAATCCAGTAAAGTGTCTAACTATACACTGTACACGGTACACTGTCAAGTACACTGCGTAACTGAAGCCCTAACTGACCGCCTTTCTTGTGGTAATATTGATAATATATTTACAAGAGGCAAACTTACGCGTTTATTTCACTGAGTTATGAACGTTCCCAAATTTGTTCATAAACTTGTGTTCACTTTTCATCGCTTTAGGCGTCTTTTTGCATAAAAACATCGCAAATGCAAGTTGTTCGGCAAGCTAGCAATATTTTAAAGAAAAACCTGCCTAGTGAGAAATTTTCTGCTGTATACCAGAAGATTGACTGAAAAAAAAAACAATCTCGAGCTGAAAAGTTTGTTAAACATATTGTAAGAATTCATTAGACTTCATCTTCCTTATCTGTAAATATTGATCATCAGTCTTCGCGTCATTCCTCTTGGTCATCGGCACCATTTCGCAGTTGCTTGAATAAATCGTCGGCTGAACCATGGTATTTCGAGTGGTGAAGGTGCTTTCTGATCTCTTCGACCTCTATTCATTCAAAGCCAGCTCTTGAAGTTCCGTTCAAGACGTCACTTACGCCAGCAGAGCACCATGACGCAAGAGCAAGCCTAACCGAACCACCCGCCGGCCCCACTACCCGCCACTAACCCCAGCCTGGTCGACAACCTCCCTCGGTGGCCTCTAATCTTCTCCGATCTGCCTGGCGAAGATACGGAAGACTGGCTTGACAACTATGACCGCGTAGGTGTTTACAACAACTGGAACGAGACATCAAAATTAGTACGCGTCCAGTATTACGTCTCTCATGTGTTCATGACCCCGTTGTTAAATCATGAGAGAAAGTTCCGCAATTGGTCTTTCAAAGACCAGCTGCGACGTATTTTCGCTACACCAACCGTCCGTTCAAAAGTTGCTCGGGAGAAACTGGCAGAACGCGTTCAACATTCTTATACTGAGGATGTGCTTGCACTTCGCCGCCGTATCAACGACACCATGCCAGAAGCTGATCGTGTCCGACATCTTCTGAAGGGTCTCGAACCTACTGCTTTCAACGCCTTCGCCACGCACAACCCTTCGGCGGTTTCCGACGTCGTCTCTGTATGCCGTCGTCTCTGTATGCCAGCAGTCAATCTGCCTGCGACCCGCCTTCTCTGAGAAACCCCTTGCAAACAGTATAGAGCTCCAATCTATCATTCAAGCCATAATTTGTGAGAAATTGCAAGCCAACATTGTACCTCCTTCTCACGACGTTACCGCTCAACCCGTCTCTAGCGATCTGCGTGGCATTATTAGGAAAGAAATGTCAGCTTTTACAACCACCCACCACGCTCCGCCTTGCCCCGAACCCGCTTAGTACGCACACATGGCTTCAATGCAACCCTCGCCGTCTCAAGTATTACCACCTGTGCCTGATCACAACCATCTCGCATGTCTGGTCACCCGTCCACCAAACCCTAGCTACCATTCTTTCTTGCGGGATCCACGGCCCATTTGCTATTGTGTGGAATTCGAGGACACATTTCCCGGTTCTGCCGACGCCGGCAGCAAGATGAACGTCGTGGTTATGCCACTTTTGAACGTTATGGCACATGTGCTCGAGGTTACTACCGCTATCCCGACAGTCCTTCCAACCACCGATCCCCGTTTCGTGTGGAAGTTTCCCACACGCCCCGCCGCAGTGTTCAAGGGTCTATGGCACTCGGCTGCTGACCCGCAGGTTGCGGGATCGAATCCCGGCTGCGGCCGCTGCATTTATGATGGAGGCGGAAATGTTGTAGGCCCGTGTGCACAGATTTGGGTGCATGTTAAAGAACCCCAGGTGGTCGAAATTTCCGAAACCCTTCACTACGGCGTTTCTCATAATCATATGGTCGTTTTTGAACGTTAAAACCGACATATCATCATCATTATAATTAAATTTCTCACGACCAACACTACGCGTGGCCCCCGACCACTTGAAAGAAATTTGTGTAGCGCGAGGTGAAAAAAACGAACACAGGAAAGAATAGACTGAGAAGACAGAGCGCTACTATAAACAACATGTTTATTTTCGACCTCCAAGCTGCTTTTAAGCCGTAATCGTCAGGCGACCAAGCAGATAAGCACGTGTAATTCAGATACATGCACGAGAATGCCATTTCATTTCATTTCATTTATTCCACCTTAAAGGCCCGGAGGCATTACATTAGGGGGGGCGGCGTACAAGGTATGTCGAACAACTCAACAAAACTCGAAGGGTTCCAAAACGTAAACATTCAAAGAACAATGAAAAAAAAAGGTACAATATGCAAAGTAAAACGCCAATATTACCAAATGCAAATAAAAAAGTAATGGTATAAAGGTAAGCTTCCAGAGAAAAGTGACGACAGTTTATACATTAGTTAAAAAAAAAGTATTTAAACATTGGCAGGGAAAACAGCACATTCAGTTAGATTGCGACATGTGACATTTTAGCTTACTGCGGAAAATTTGGCGGTTATTACACGTGACTATATTATCAGGTAGTTTATTCCACAGTGTTATCCCATTGGGAAAGAAGGAAGTAATCATTGCAGAAGTGTGTCCATTTATTGGTGCGATAGGGTGACTGTGGTTTATGCGGGATGAAGTTCTGTGTGATGGTTGAAGGAGGACGTGCCGTGATTGAGGGTGATAATAGAAAGCATGCATCAGACACAATCGAGAAATGATACGACGAGATTCGAGGGACGGCAGTTTCAATGATTCTTTTAGTGCAGTAACGCTGATATCGTTAGAGTATTGGGAGTAAATAAAAAGGGCAGCGCGGTTCTAAATCCTTTCTAAATCGTTAGTTAGATATGTTTGTGAGGGTTGCCAAATTGAGCAAGCATATTCTAGTTTCGGTCGGACGTGCGTTTCATAAGCTAATTTTTTAATGTCTGGTGAGGCTAATTTTAGGTTGCGGCGCAGGTATCCGAGAGTGCGTGAAGCTTCTGAACAGATTATTTGAATATGGGTTGACCAGGATAGCGACGATGACAGATGCACTCCGAGGTATTTGTATGATAGGGTAGGGCTAATGGGAACAGACTTTATGCTATAGGTAAATTTTTCTGGGCTCTTTTTGCGGGTGAATGACATAATTTTACACTTAGTTAGGTTTAACGGCATTAGTGACTTATCACACCAAGTTACAATTAAATTTAAATGATGTTGAAGTTTAATGCTGTCGTCTGGTGTACAGATTGGAGAGTATAAAACGCAGTCATCGGCAAAAAGTCTTAATTTGGTTAGCACATTGGTGGGTAAGTCATTTATGTATATTAGAAAAAGGAGCGGGGAGAGACAGGCACCTTGGGGGACGCCGGACGTTACGTCGGAAAGAGGTGAGTCGTGGTCATTAGCGCTGGTGAACTGCTTACGGTTTTTTAGAAAATTTTCTATCCAGAAAATTATGTTGGGAGGGATTCCAAGGTTGCAGTAGTTTAGAGAGTAAGAGGTTATGAGGAACACGGTCGAATGCTTTAGAGAAATCTAAAAATATGGCGTCAGTTTGAAGATTTTCATCCATGAAGTGAAGAATATCATGTGTGAATTCGGCCAGTTGTGTTTCGCATGATAGTTGTTTCCGGAAACCATGTTGGTGATCGAAGAAAAATTTGATGGATTCCAGATATGTCATTAGGTTTGAAGCTATAATATGTTCGAGCATTTTAGATGGGATGCTGGTTAGGGAAATAGGTCGGTAGTTAGCTGGGATTGCGCGGTTGCCTGATTTAAAGATGGGAATAACCTGAGCTTTCTTCCAATCGTCTGGGACGTTTCCTGTTTGTAATGATTGTGTGAAGATTAGGCAAAGTATTTGGCTTGAGACAGAAACGGTATTTTTTAGTAATTTACTGTTAATACTGTCGCAGCCCGCCGAGGATGAAACTTTAAGATTGTTAATGAGTAGGAATATTCCTTCTGGGGTAATTTCAATTTCTGGCATCGCTACAGCTGCAGATTCGGGCAGTGTTACGGTATCAGTGGTGTTGGCAGAGGAAAACACAGACGTAAAGTGGTCATTTAAAGCAGAAGCGCACTGGTCAGCGTGTATTGGTTCTCCGTCAGCGTTAGTGAGGCTTATTCGATTAGATTGTGACTTGGGGGACAGCATGCGCCAAAATTTGCTGGGATTTGATTGAAGAATTGATAGTAGGTCATGGGAAAAGAATTTGATTTTTGCAGCTTTTAGTTCGGTTAAGTACTGATTAGCGCACGCGCGGTAGCGCTCCCACGCAGTTGAACTTTGG